CGATGAAACTGTTTTTATTAAGTTTGGGGAATTTTTCTTCATGGTATGATCATGTTTCTGTGAATATACATATTTGTTTAATAAATCCCATTCAAGAGATCACGGGTTATATACGCATTTAGCATTTTAATAACTTTGACTATTTTTCTATCTTATCTTTCTATCATATTGTTGTTGCTTCATTTACATAGCAACGATGTAATATTTTCGTAGTCTGACACAGTGAGGATCAAATTTACTACACTCTCAACACTCTGAGAATCTTAATTAATATTAGATGCGTGCAAAAGTTTGCAGATTTTTTCTTTTCTTTTCTTTTTTTTTTTTTTGTTTTCTGCCTGTTTTCACCTACGTAATAATTCTCTCCTCAAAAAAAAAAGGTAGGTGGTGCAAGGAATTTATACACATACCCAATAAAAAGGCACTTAATTGAGAGATAAAGAGTTGTTTTCTATTATGGATTCAATAAAAACCAAAATCGACGTTTTCTGTTCTTCTGGTATTCGTATGTATTTACCTTTCGTTCTGCTATTTATTTTTTTAAAATGAACTTCACGTGTACGCCTAATCGACTCACATTTTTTCATAAATAGAATGTCACTTCTTTCTTAAGCACCAAATTAACTTGGCGCCAAATTGATGATAAAACAATTGTAACACTCACGTGATTAACGACTAGATGCTACTCACTTTCAGGAGCAGCTACTCGCTACCTCTTATCACGAAGGTTATTTGAGTAATTACCTATTTGTTGTAGATATCCAGAAGAGTTATCTTTGTCTTTATACAGAGAAGAGTAACATTCGAATATTATTTCTTTTTGTTAGTTATTAAAACACTAAATGATTATGTAACGCATGATCTCGTGAGTAAAATAGATGAAACAAATATTTGTTATCATTTATGACCATCTGAAGTCATGAGAAAGAAATAATTACTCTCATATATAAACCGCCGACTGCATTTTATCTCGATATATTTAGAAAGAGTTGGCAACAAAGAAAAGATTACTGAGATCCTACGTGACATCTGTCCTCCTTTACGGCAGTGAGTGTTGGAAGGTCTACTCAAAAATGAAGGCGACAGAGATGTGTTTCTTCAGAAGGCCGCTGATGATGTCATGGACCGAGCGTGTGAGCAACGATGAGGTCCTAGAGAGGATGCAAACAAGGAGGAGGCTTATACTTAATATCAGGAAGAGGCAGCTGAAGTTTCTAGGACACATAATGAGGAAGGAAGGCCTGGAGAATCTGATACTCACGGGTCGAATAGAAGAAAAGAGAGACAAGGGAAAGCAGCGCGTGACATACTTGGCGGGTTTGAGCAAGTGGATGACAGAACGTGATCTGGAGGAGGTGGCAGAGGGAAGGAACTTATTGAGAGCTACAAGGGATAAGAGGAAGTTGAGAGCCATGATCGCCTACGTCTTGAAAGGACACAGCACATAAAAAGAAAAATATTTAGAAATGTTTACGGCTTTTCTTATTGCTACCCACTGATTTTATTGCTACTCTATAATATGTTGGGAACGTACCCGAGGGGTTAGAATATTCTCTTTCCAGCCATGAAAAACGGGTTCGAATCTCACCTGTGTCGAATAGTCAGGAAGGTCTTCATATTAACGGCCCGTAGAGGTACCTTTGTAAAATACCTGAAAAACCATACTATGGGTTGACCGAAAATTTGTGAGTGAAATTGGATAGATATAACTATTTGGGAATCGTCGATGGTTGAGTTAGCAAGTCATCATGATCGAGGGTTTGAGAGCACTGGCCTTGTTCAGATTGTTGATCACGCGATAATCAACAAATATTGCGATCTCTCCCTGAAACTGTAACTAAGGTCCGTTCAGCATAGTTGCAGTATAAAACCCAGGCAGGCTTTGTGGGTGTTGAACAAATACAAATACGCAATAGAAATTGGCTAGTCGCCCTAGAAGGTAAGTATATTTGGATACATGCAGCTAGTCGCCCTATATTTTGGATACATGCAGCTATTACTATAGATCCAAATCATAACTGGATAGACTTTGCACTCATATAACCCCTAGCCGTCGAATGGAGACCAATGTAATTGTATTATAAGCGTTCATTCAACGAGCAGGTTGTTCTACTTCCGTTTGAAATTTATAAAATTTTCTATGAAAATAGATTTCTCAATTACAGTAATAATTATTGCTATTGCAAGTATTGATGGACGTTTCCTTCCTAACCTTTTGTGTGAAGTGGTGTGGAAGGTCAACATCTTGATAATGTCATTATTTTCCCTTTGAGATAAACATGCTAGCTAAAATCTTTCTCTTAAAACAATTTCTTCAGGACAAAAGTCTACGACTTGTTATCGTTCTTTCCAGTATTGATTGGAGTTTCCTTCCTAATCTTTTGTTTGAAGTAGTGTGGAATATCAGCATGCTGTTTATGTTATTATTTTCTCTTCAAGTTACATGTAATATCCATTTTAGTTATTGCTACTGTTAAACTTCCTCAGGTGATTTGGTTTCTGTTATCTGCTACAGTTCTTTGCTTGCGATTCTGTAGCGCCAATCCTCAAGGCTCTTAGAAGGATGGTCCGCGCAAAGACATACATCAATTTTTAACCATTGATCTGAGAAAGCACTTGTATACAACTGAGAGTTTAGATCTGTCTGAAAGAGTTAGGCGCCATGCATATCTATATACTGATCTCAATCTGAAGAAGTTATTTCTAAACATGACTCGAGTTCTTAGATTAATGTTTTATCTATTTAACAATGTGAGGTGTTCAGCGAAAATACCTCCAGCGCAGCCTATTCTATATTCAGTTTTTTTATCTTCTAAACTAATTTTTTTTATAACTGATCCATACAGCGAGATATTCGAAGTGTTCAGTATTTAATACACTCTACATCATTATAGTCGAACACACCCTTTCTTATTTTGTGCAATAAGCAACAAATTTATTATTATTATTATTTTTTTTTTTTTTTTTTTTTTTGCTGCCAGTGAAGAAATTTTGATTAGTAACAACCAAATTTGGTTGGTTCTGATCCTAAAACTTTTTGAGTAAATTTCAACAAACAATTCTATACATAGTGCGATGGATAAATTGTCGTCCAAATTACGCGCAAATGAAAATAACACTGATATCTCATTTTAACGGATATATTTACCAAAGTTACACAAAAATATCTTGAAATACTTAAGTGTAAATTTCTTCAATAAAATCGCCTTTAGCGTCAACCACGGCCTCCAGACGACTTCGGAATCTCCTGCAACTCTTCTAGACACTCTTCTTGTTTAAGTTGGTGAAGGGGGTTGCAGTCTGAGAAGTTAGATGGCTAAATATAAGGGTTGATGTGGTCGCAGAAATTGTCTGACAACCATAACAGTGTTCTCCTGCTTGTGTAGCATAGTGCTAGGCCTGTTGCCAGACCTAGAAACTTCAAGCAGCCACCCTCTTGACCCAGGAAGCACTATCTCCTCAGGGCACTTGATGTTGGCCTCTGTGTTGAGTCTGGGACGTTCACCAACAAATTCGGGAGTTATTTCTAAGTGAATTTTCCGAGGTACCACACCTTCGTAATCGCCATTATACTTATCCACCTCTTTCTGAATCCTCTGCGCTGTCCTCAGATTGACACCTAAACACTATGAAATATTCGTATGGCGCTTCCGATGCGAATGCCAAGCAGTACAGCATAACGTTTCCAAATTTCTGGTTGGAGTGAATTGCATCATGCTGCTCCTTTACTTGCAGATGGTGTCCTATTGACCCTACTATACTGTGCAATCGACAAAAACAAAAACGAGCAACGCACATGCGCGAAATTTAAAATTTAAAATGGCGGCAATTTACCCATCGAACCCTGTATATAAGAAATTTGTCAAATTACCTATTTGTCAAATTGGTTTGTTAGCAAATAAGTCAAGTATTAATCCCGTAATAAAGTTATGATATTTTATCCGCAAGCCAACTCGAACGGAATATGGTACATGGCTGCTTTTAAAGAGTACCATACGCACATAAATATATATGAATTCCTCAGATGGCTCAGTAATTTCCGTTTGGACATGCTCCAGGTACAAGGGATTAACTATAGCCGTTCCTCTTGGGAAAGATATTACGTATAGGGACACCCTTGCTTAAAGCTAGGCTTACTATAATTATTATTGCGTGTTTGGTAGTGCCAAGCAAGTAGGACAATGCTGTGTCTAATATTAAGGTTTTTAAGTTTTTCTTTACAGGAGACAAGACGAAAATAATTAATATATAGTTCTATTGCTTGATTACGTTATATTTGCACCTCTTCTGATAGTTAGTGTCAGATTAATCAGTTTTTCCTTTTGCTATTTCTTAATTTTAATGACAAAGTTGATTAGTTGTGATATCCCTTCCACTGATTTTAATGCATTCAGCTTATATGAGGTTGAAAATTTTAATTGTCGGCTTACAACCGCATCACTGAAACACTGGTTCCCGTACAATCACCAAAACAACCTGGTCAGCCTGGTCAATACATAAATGGGTGACCGCTTGGGAATATCAGGTGCTGTAAGTTTGGATTTGTGGTCGGTGTAATGGATAATGATTCGGATTTGTTAATCAGAGAGCCGAGTTCCAATTCCACTTGGCTTCTTTATATTCACTTACACGCAAATAATCTTGAGAAAGTTATGAATTAACAAATAAAAAAAAACCCATTCCTTTCTTTAGAAATTGCTTTGTTGACGTTAGGATACGAAACTGAGCAGACATGTCTATTTCGAGAGTCAGAGAATAATCTGTGTTTAAAGGCAATATTCAATTTTGCTTGACCATCGACGCACTCTGTGAACGAGAGGTTTAGTGCACGTCAAATATAATGACGGTTTCCCCTAGGGTTCAAGTCCTGCCGGAGAGCGCATATTTTCTCTAATAAGATTTCTCTAATATTCAGGCCGGTAGACGATAATAAATAAATATACTGTTTAATAAATAAACGGAGCGTCTACTCAACTACGAGTATCCACTAAAAATAACGTTTAAATAATAAAATAGATAGATAGATAGATAGATAGATAGATAGATAGATAGATAGATAGATAATGAAAATACTGAAATAGAGGGATAATGAAGATAGATAGATAGATAGATAGATAGATAGATAGATAGATAGATAGATAGATAGGTGTGAACAGACCGAATGAGGTAAATATGAATAGACTGTGATTATTCTAACAAACTCAACGAATCAATATATATTATTCTACCACCAACTCTTTCACAACTATGACTGAAATCAATTTGTCTAAGCTTGACAAATTTGTTACTACTACTTCAATAATAATAAAATACCTGATTAATACAAAATGCAGTAATAATAATAAGCTGAAACTTGAAGTGGGTAATTTACTCTATCACCTGTAATAACTGCCACAAGTAATTCGCGGGAGAAACCTTGAGAAATGCCAATAAAAGATTATATGAAAACAAAATGGATATTTTACAAACTAACTTTAATTCCTCAGTGTAATGAGTTTAGCCATAATTTGATTTGAAAAGCGCTACTTTAATTAAAAATAAAGCAATTTACTAAGACGAAAATGTATAGAAATTGATTTAATTGCTCGATCATCCACAGTAAATTTATGTTCAGGTCCTCATATTTAACCTTTCTTGGCAGATATCCTATTATCTCAATATGATATTTAATAACTGTTGTAACCTAGGGAAGGTTATTGAATAGAATAATCACACGTAAGTTGGTAATGAACGATAATACTGAGGACAAGAACAATACATATAAGATTCGACAGTGGCGCGCAGAAGTAGTCAACTGCTAGAAGTGAATCAAGTGAATTCCACAATGAATCTCCAACTGCAGGATTTTTGCCAACCGCCCCACGCGGTCAGATGTGGCACAAGGCCGAATTTAATGTGGGATATCCGAGCCCGTAGGCTCGGCCAAAAATTCCCCGTAGACACCGTATAAAACGGGCTCGGGTAACTGTTTTCCGAGACGAGACTCTCCCCTTCGATATAACCTCGTCTGTGGATCCTCTCTGCCCGGAGGCAAAGATTTTGACCAGCACAACTGTAGACGAATCTCCAACTGCAGGATTTTTGCCAACCGCCCCACGCGGTCAGATGTGGCACAAGGCCAAATTTAATGTGGGGTTTCCGAGCCCGTAGACTCGGGCAAAAATTCCCCGTAGACCCCGTAAAAAACGGGGTCGGGCAGCTGTCTACCACCCCAGACGAGACTCTCTGTCCGAAGGCAGAGAGTTCGACTAGCACAGCTGGAGACGAATCTCCAACTGCAGACCAACACACAGTACTTACTACCATATTTATGTGAATGCGGACATACCCATTATCATCCGTAGGTATGCTACAGCAATAACAAAAGTGAGAAAAACAAATAAAGAGAAAAATAAACTAAATGAAATCGGATATACTATATACTTGAACACATTTTTTAAATTAATTTGAATTTAACATTTCATTGATCCATTTCCTTCATGCGCATGTGAAATCACATCAATGTAAACATCACTTTAGTCCGATGATGTGCTCAAGGTCAAAACGTGTCACATGAAAAAAATTCCACTTTATTTTGGAATTTTCTAAAACTATTCTTAAATATGAAAAAATTGTTTATCGTTTTCAGATAGATAGATAGATAGATTATTTTTTATAACACCAAGTGAAACAATTTTAAAATCTGAGAGAATCACTAATACCGAATAATTTATACTTGCGTCCAAAATCGAAAACTCTCAAACGAAAATCACTTACATCCTATCTTTTTTCCTTTCCCTAATCACGCACTTTTTATATAATAATTTCTGTTTTTGGTTACCCGTAATCTTTTATCTATTTTCGTACCGATCGTCAAAACACCAAGTACAAATGAATATGAGCTCCATCGGACAATCAACTTAATGAAAACATAACTAAGCTCATAATTAGAAATTTAGTAAACAAATCTCGTAAGAGAATTAGGCGAGAAATAAGGCAAGGATAATACAGTTTGGTTCAAAAAACTCGAAAAAGAAATGTCATCTCTATGATCAGAATGCTATCAGAATGAGTAATATAAAAAAATCCTATATCCATATTTCCTAGATTATTCAAAGTATTCGACAAGTTACGACACTAAACCTATTTGAACTGCTAGCTAAGCTCGATTTATATGTGGAATATATTAGAATAATGCAAAACATTAAATGGGAACAAACCTGTCTGCATACGGACAGAAACCTGGTTAAGCAAGTACACAAATATAGAAAGTAGTTGAACGACAATGATATTTATATTTGTATTGATACAAATTCTCGACAAATGTGTTTTAATCTATACAACGAGACAATCATGAGAGAACGACATTCATTCTTTGAGTATTTTACGAAACTTCGTGAATATAGCGATAAAGATGAGGACAACAGTCCGAACGATGTAAATAAAAATGTTTATCGCCATATTCACGAGGTTTCGGCCATTGTTCTCTCCAGCCTTCTTCATGTTATATACGCTGGAATTTGGAACCAAACCCTTTAGTTCACAGTGGTGGAACCCTCCCTCAGGTATTGAACTCACTACTCTTTGGGGTAAGTCATTTTTAGATTACTCACTAATGCGTTTATTCACTGGGTCATGTGTCCTTGGGGATGTCAGCGAGTGAATTTTTTCGGGACTTTTAAACCTAACGTCACAATAAGCCTTTTTTTATCGAATTTTATATTAAATTTTTTTTTTTAGTTCAATAATTAGTCACAGCGAAGGGAACGAATCTTGGAGAGTTCAGTTGCTAATGGGAATTAACTTAAACTGAGATATCAAATAATGCATGACACGTAGAATTAGGACATCTACCCCACCCCAAATGTTCGGTTAGAAATTTTAACGTATATCACCTGGAGAAGGCCGGAGCGTAAAACGGCCGAAACGTCGTGAATATGGCAATAAAGATGAGGACAACAGTCTGAACGATGAAAATAGTGTAAATAGTTACAATACTTCATCTCATATTAATGGTATCTTCAAAAGCAGGAGTGAGGAGAGCTAGATTGATGGTGGATATTTATTAACAGTGATATAGAAGTTCATTGATACATACACACACATACACACACACACACACACACACACACACACACATATATATATATATATATATATATATCTTTCACTCTCTTTTTCTCTCTGAAAATAGTGTAAATAGTTACAATACCTCATCTCAGAAATATACAGAGAGATATTTTAAAATTGTAAGAATTTTATAGAGATAATACCGATACAAGTTTTACTAATTAACCCAGAGCTGGAGGAACAAGTGGTGGATTCATACCTTTCCTAAGTGTATTTATGCTCAAGTGAATATTACGAACCTATGTGAAATTGGAACTCGGCTCACCGATTTCCAATTCCGAGCCGATATTCATTACTCTTGCCGTAGATTCGTGATTACAACACCTGGAATTCTCAAGTTGTCCCCTATCTAGGTACTAACCAAGCTCGACATTTCTTATTTCTGTGATTGTACGAAAACTGGTGTCCCTAAAAGAACTAGAAAATCTACTCGAATTTATTATTGGTATTGGTAGACTAAACCATATAAAATAATAATGTTATTGCGCTACTGTCGGATTCAGAAGGAAAACTGCAAAATCTCCGAGACAAAGTAGCAAAGGCAACCGAGAAAAAAGTACAGGCTATAAATTATAGAAAGACAGAACGCATTGTTGTCAGTAAGAGAAGCAGCCATAAGTGTGAATTTCGAGTTGGAGACATCAGAATCAAACAGATGCAGAAAGTTAACTATCTGGATAGTGTAATAACAAACGACAGAAAGTGTGGAGTGGAGATCCGAAGTGCATCGAAATAGACAAAATGCCTTTCAAAATCTAAGCAAAATGTTAAGAAAGAAGAATATTTCATTAGAAATAAAGAAAAACCGCTGAGCTTCTATGGCAGAAAGATATAGGGATTTTCCAAGCGTAGCTTAGATGTGGCGCAAGGCCGAATGTAGGGGGCACCCAGTGAGGATCGAACTCAGTTGTAATTGTTCTAGCGACACAAGCTTGCTTACCATTACACCGCCTCGAATTGCCCTGGCAGAAAGACATATATAACAGATGAAGAAGTGACTCGAAGCAACAAAACAGTGATTCTTCAGTCGGCTGGTGACAATCCGATGGAGAGAACACAACGAAATTTTAAACAAAATGCGAAACTGAAATACGCTCACACTTAAAAAATCAGAAAGAGACAGCTGGAATTTCTGGGACACATTTTGAGGAAAGAGGACTTGACAAATTTAACACTCACATGACATACTGAAGGAAACGAGGACAAAGGGAAAGTAATTTATCTAATTGGTTTTGAGTGAATGGATTGCAGAGCTGAGAGGAAGAGGATGGTAAAGAATAAAACATTTCCTATACTCTAAATCTGTACCTACTCCAACTACGTTCATGCAAAAAGTATATACAGCAAAACTTTAATTTAAGTGGCTCTGGGGACTTGCATTAGGTGATCAATTAATGAAAATAAAATAAGTACGGAGGGAAACAACTTACCTAATAATCTTGTGCAAATGGATGTCGGATCAGGAATTGGAAAGGATAGAAACATACCCACATCGTTAAGTGTTACATAGGACAGGAAGTTATGGAGAGCCATGATCACCCACACCCTGAAGGAATATAACATATAAAAGAAGACTGCGCATAAACCTACCTTTTTCTATCACAAACATCACTCTCTATAAACACACACACGCAAACGCATGTAGGTACCTCCAAAGATTCGGTAGAAAAGGATCATACATGATGAAAAAATGCTTCGAAGTTAAAAAAAGTTTTAGCATTAAAATCTTTACGTTATTATTAAGAGAAATGACGAAAGGATTTTTGGTTATTAAATTATATTTTTTAATCCTTTTTAAAACCTTCGAAATTTTGGTTGCGCCAGAATGTCACCATAAAATTTTCGCGTCTTTTTTTTCTGTGATTTGGAAAGATCTGTAAAAATCAGATAATTGTCAGATTTTAATTAAATTTTCAGGATTTATTTACATATTAATGAAATTATTTTAGAAATGTTTCTTTTCTAGAAAATATTGGTAAAATGTTTATATACATATATATATATATATATATATGTATATATATATATATATATATATGTATGTATATATGTATATATATATATATATATATATATATATACATATATATATACATATATATATATATATATGTGTGTGTGTGTGTGTGTCCACTTATTTAATTTATGAAATTTCGAGAAATTCATTTTTGTACGACTTAATATTTATATTGATTATAAGCACAAGTCCTTGAAGAATTTAAATCATCCTTTTTATTTTGTAAAACAGGGTCCCCCAGTTACAGAATATCTGCACTGAATTGTAAAATAAAATATGCAACAAAACTAAAACATTATTTAATTAGAAAGTATTTTAATTGCCTTTATGAATAAGATTTATTTGGATGCAATTGTCTCAACAAAAAAAACAATTTTTACATGAATAATGAATTTTTAATAGAATTATTTTCACTTTTTTATTTTAATTATAATAATCTCTAAAGTTATACATTTTTTTAAATTCTATATTAATTTATAGCGATGAGGCGATATTGTTATTAAGTAAAGACTATATTTATTAATCATAAATAGAAAAGCTTATTACAATTCAGTGAACCCCAGTATTTAAAAAGAATTTTCACTTGTGTGTGTGTGTGTGCGCGCGCGCGTGTGTGCGTGTGTATAACTGTGCCAATCTTTGTAAATACGAACGTCCATACGCGACATTATCAGACGATATTAGTGGTAGCTCCAGTAAATTTAAAAGGCAGTGTTAATTTTCTAACATTTCCTCAAGCATATTTGTAAGTATGACTGTAAAGCCAAACTACCAAAAATTCAATAAAAGATTACTTGGTAGTTAAGAAATTATTTAAAATGCCGTTCATGTTATAATCATGAAGTAAATGTTAACGTAAATTATAAAAATTCCCAAACATAAGTCTCTCCTCAAAGTTGTCAACAGATCATATATACATCTACCTCCTTGTTAAAAACTGCTTTTCTGTGATATTTTAAGCTAAAAGTAAGGAATATTTGTTTCAAATCAGATTATTTAAACTTTAAATCGGCGAATCTTCCTCAAAGAAAGCCTCAGAAATGTATATTTTACTTTGAAAGATTATTTTTTACTAAAGAGTATTATGTTATGCTGACAGATATTTAAATATGACAAAAATGCCTTAAGTCAAAATTTTGTTAGCGATTTCCCAAAAAAAGATTTCAATCAATTTAAATTCGTTTTGAAGTGCAGCAAAGTACTTTGTTTATTGGAAATATTAAATTTCATCTATTAGCTTGAAATTAAAGCTAAAAAATGAAAACTTCAAGAAGGATTTTTCATTTTAAAAATTAACTTTAAACCTAAGGTGTCGCTTATAAGCATAAGGTATCGCTTATCTTTGGAGATACCTCCATATCGATATATGTATGAGAGTTTGTGTATTGGTTTATGATAACGTATGTGTCTATGTGTGTGTTTGTCTGAGTGAGCGCAGCACACTGTATTTTTAAGGAATCAATAAATGTTAATCAAAGTTCTACGCATAGGAAATTTTTAACGCTGTTTCACGCACAAGCGTGCATATGCATATTGTCTTTATTTTATGAATTGTTTATTGTGTTCAGTCGAATGTGTAGTAATACTTTGATTATCGAAGCAACAAAGGCTTCACCCCAGAACAACACAAATATACCTTAACTTGTTTAGGTCGAGGGTAGGTATTTCTACATGGTAATATAAGTAAGAGTTTCAGGGGGAATAAAGGCTGCAGAGAGTAGGAAATAATAAAAATAATATTAAAAAGAAAGAAAGGATAACAGAATTTAAAAAGAAACGTGAGAAAGAAAATGAAAAGGGAAGAATGAAGAGATATTGAGTGAAACAATGTTAACATTGAATAAGAAATAGAAAAGAAAGAGAAAGAAAGAAAAAGAACTAAAAGAAAAGATCAGAAACAAAAAGGAATGGGATGGAAAAAATGAATGAAAGATAGAATGAATGAATGAATGAATGAATTAAAAGCTATAAAGCGAAGAGCTGTTCACGTTGCAAAAGAAAAAAAGAAAGAAAATCTATGAAACAAAGAACTGTTGACGCTGAATAACTCGAAGAGCTAAAACGGAAAGAAAGAAAGAAAGAAAGACAGAAAGAAAGAAAGAAAGAAAGAAAGAAAGAAAGAAAGAAAGAAAGAAAGAAAGAAAGAAAAATGTTAATATTGAAGAAGATATAAATAAATAAATAAAAGCTATTAAGTAAAATACTGTTCATGATGAATAAGGAAGAAAATAAAATAAAGGAAAATAAAACAATGGAAAGAAAAATGGCTAATGCAAAAAAAAAGAGACAAAAAAGAAAACCTTTCAAATGCAAAGAATTATTGAAATTGAATAAGAAATAATTGAAGAGCTAAAACAGAAAATAATATGACAGAAAAAAGAAAGATAAAAGAAAGAATGAAAGAAAGAAGAAAGAAAAAAGATAATAAAAACGAAAGAAATAGAAAAAGAAAGTAAGAAATAGAAAAAGAAAGAACGAAGTTAGATATGAATAAATTAAAGCAACGATAAGGTAATAAGATGTAAGTAAATAAAAAAAAGAGCTGACATATTTAAGAAAAAAAGTGTATTCCAAAAAAGAAATCATGATGTGGGGAAATAAAATGCTTTCCCTTCTTGTTTTGTGAAACTTGCTTTCGACAAGTTAGATTACGCTGGATATGAACAAACGAAAAGATATCTTTGTCATCAGATTCTATCCACTCACAGCGAAACGCTTTCTTTTGATTGCGTAACAGAAATGGCGAAACATACAACATAAAGAAAATTATTGTTTCCTCATATTTTTTTTCTTTTTGCTTTACTTTCTTTCTTTTTTTTACATTAAAAACTACATTTCTCTCGACCATACCTTTAAAAAATATATATATATATATAAAACTGTTAGAATATCATGTTTCCCTCGGGTTCTTATTACAGTTTAATGACCTAAAACATTTTATTGTTTAATACTGTCACAGTGTAACTTGCACTCATACAAAATATGGATTTATTTCTCCGGATGAAATACTACACAGGCAACGAGTGGGTCAATCGGTACGTGTTTCTTTGTCGATCTGAAATAACTAATATGACACATGAATAAATAAATAACATTTATCAACGCTAGTGTCTTTATAAAAAAATAAAAAGGGAAAGAGAAAGGTTAACGAAATAGACACAGAGGACCCTTGGCATCTTCAACAGAAGATTCTTGCCACCTGTTCCAAGCAGTTGCTTCAACACTACACCCTGTATGAACATAAAAGATCGATTCCTTTCTACGTAAATATTACTACAGCATTTCTATAAAAATAAATGACATGGTAATTGTTCCGATGAGTTTTCCTCATTGATAGCTAGGTATCATAAATTCACTGCTGAAATTGCTAGATGTATAACCCTAAGTTCTATGCTAACAGTCTCTTCTCTCGTACTTCTTGCTTGTGGAACTCTATTCTGGCTTCTTGCTTTCCTCTCAAATCTCTCTTCTGTGTGTTGTGTCCGATAAGAACGTTGGTGATCATGGCTCCTTACAATGTTCTGTTCTTTGTAGCTCTTCTTTCCTGTCTCTTCAATTTCAATAGCTACAAAGTCATTAAAATAATAATGATGATCCTAATAATCTTCTTTCTTTCTTTCTTTCTTTCTTTCTTCTTTCTTCATTATATGCCCGAGAAATTACAGCTATCTCTTTTTGATTTCAAGGCTAAGTGTCCTTGAGAATCTTAACAAATTAAATGCAACATCAATCGTCATCTTATGTCGCCTTGAATCTATCTCGGCTCAATAAACTTTTACACGGTTTCTTTCACTCTCAGCAAGACTTTGCCTTATTGTGGTTTTTGATCGCACTACTAATGATGAAATAAAATTTTAAAAAAAACTCTTAAAGGATTTGTCACAGAACATAGAGCACATGTAACACAAATGGAGAATTATGACATCAGTAAGATGCTGACGTTCCACAATGCCTCAAACAAAAGGCAAGGAAGGAAGCCCTCAGCAGTACTAGAAAGAGTGATTAGTGGAATTGGCAGACTTATTTTCCTAAAAAAATGTTTTAATTGTTGCCAATCGACAGTGACACCGGCTGCTCGGTCAACGAATACCAAATGTTTCCTCATAAGGAAACAGCTAATACTGCATTTATCATTTCATCTCGTTAGATTTGTGATTTTTCGAAACCCCTATTTTACATTCTCTCGCGCCCTTTAAATCCCACCCTCACACACACGCACAGAAACACGATATATATATATATATATATATATATATATATATATATATATATATATATATATAGAATGTACTAAAAATGATATCATTTTGTAATCTAATAACATAGCAAGTTTTCAATCTTAAATTTTGACAAAAAAAAGTAATGTTTCTGCGCAGACTTATCTCAATGAAAACCTACCAGGGAGATGGATCAGGTGTGCCAGTCATAATGACAATGTGCCGTTGAAATGTCCACTTGACACCTTGTGATTTTTTTTTCTATGGAGCTGAACGCAAGGGCATGTCTGTATATCCCTCTTACTACAAGCCTAGAGTTGGAGGCATGGATAGTGGCTCGGATTGCGGAATCGGAGAGCCGAGTTCGAATTCCAGTCGAATCCATTGCATTCTCTTACGTGTTAATATCCTCTTCTCTCCCCCAGCTGTGTGTAAATAGTAGGGCAGAGCAGATTCTATAGATTTGGATGACAACTGGTCTACCGCAGAAAGAAATGGCAACCTAAAAAAAAAATAACTGGTGAAAAACTGCCTCGTCAGTCATGTATCAAAAGATACATGATCGCCTAAGCGTGTATCACGCAGGGCACATAACTGAACTGAACAAGCCTAGAGTAACTAAGAATCACTGACGCACTATAGAATGTTACGGAAGACATGCTACTGTGTGTTTGGCAGGGGCTGGACTACCGACTTGACAGATGGTGCGCATATTTGTGAAGCTTTGTGAAAACGGTTATAAAATCTACATCCCTTTGAATATCTTTGAATTTTATGAAATAAAGTGTTTATTGTTCAACATGTAGCCTATTTAATTTCGTTTATCTGGGACATTTAGTTACTCAGATATTCACATTTTAAGTTATGTCAATTTGGTGGGAACACCATGCGTGAGCTTATATATATATATATATATATATATATATATATATATATACTTACTTCTACCAGCATGGTATTTTGTAAGGTTTCTAATAAAAAGACGCATACGTTCTCTTTTAACGACTCTCGAAAAATTCAAAATTTAAATCAAAAAACATAAACATCTATTCAAGCACTCGTATTGACTAAATATAAATTATATACTTTTAAGAAATGCATATATATATACTTTGTGTGTGTGTGTGTGTGTGTGTGTGTGTGTGTGTGTGTGTGTGTGTGAGAGAGAGAGAGAGAGAGAGTATGTGTGTTTCATTAAAAATGACTGACAAAGTAGTTCTGTTATGTTTTTATTGCATTTTTCTTATATGCAAATAGATTTCTAATCTGGACTTAGTGAATGTCGAAATTGTCCAAATGACTGTTCGTTCCGACCTCTTTCAACTAATCTGTTAACTATTAACAAGATTTCCGGTTGTAGTGAGTGCTGGGTAAATTGCTGAAAAGCAGATATGTCTTCAATTTCCGAAATCTTGTTCGCATACAAGAAAAATAAAGTAAAACATTTAACAGAAATATGTTGTCAGTCATTTTAATGAAACATGCATCAGAGAGCGATATCTGCCTAAATACATGACTACATATATATTAAGAAATGGACAAAGTCCGACAATTTATTTATTAAAGACATTTTTTTAATATATGACGTCATTTGTTTACATTTGATACGCCAGAGCAGTTATGAATGTACGAGATTCATGGAAGATTGAAGTTTATAAGCAGTAAATTCGACCTTGTCTACCGAACGCTCCTTTGTGGCCGATCGTTAAGGCACGTCAGCGTAAATGACGGTTCCGTATAGGATGCAGGTTCGAATCCTGTCAAAGGACGAATATTTTCTATGAAAATTTCTCGGACATTCAGGCCGCTAAATTTTATTTAATACTGTTTATTATAAACAGAGCATTTACTTAAATACTTGTATCTATAAAAAAGAACGTTAAACATAAAAATGTCTTTAATAAATAAATTGTCGGACGTTGTCCATTTCTTAATATATGACGTCATTTGTTTACATTTGATACGCCATGAGCAGTTATGAATGTACGAGATTCATGGAAGATTGAAGTTTATAAGCAGTAAATTCGACCTTGTCTACCGAACGCCCCTTTGTGGCCGATCGTTAAGGCACGTCAGCGTAAATGACGGTTCCGTATAGGATGCAGGTTCGAATCCTGTCAAAGGACGAATATTTTCTATGAAAATTTCTCTAAATTTTATTTAATACTGTTTATTATAAACAGAGCATTTACTTAAATACTTGTATCTATAAAAAAGAACGTTAAACATAAAAATGCCTTTAATAAATAAATTGTCGGACTTTGTCCATTTCTTAATATATGACGTCATTTGTTTACATTTGATACGCTATGAGCAGTTATGAATGTACGAGATTCATGGAAGATTGAAGTTTATAAGCAGTAAATTCGACCTTGTCTACCGAACGCTCCTTTGTGGCCGATCGTTAAGGCACGTCAGCGTAAATGACGGTTCCGTATAGGATGCAGGTTCGAATCCTGTCAAAGGACGAATATTTTCTATGAAAATTTCTCGGACATTCAGGCCGCTAAATTTTATTTAATACTGTTTATTATAAACAGAGCATTTACTTAAATACTTGTATCTATAAAAAAGAACGTTATACATAAAAATGCCTTTAATAAATAAATTGTCGGACTTTGTCCATTTCTTAATATATGACGTCATTTGTTTACATTTGATACGCTATGAGCAGTTATGAATGTACGAGATTCATGGAAGATTGAAGTTTATAAGCAGTAAATTCGACCTTGTCTACCGAACGCTCCTTTGTGGCCGATCGGTAAGGCACGTAAGCGTAAATGACGGTTCCGTATAGGATGCATGTTCGAATCCTGTCAAAGCACGAATATTTTCTATGAAAATTTCTCGGACATTCAGGCCGCTAAATTTTATTTAATACTGTTTATTATAAACAGAGCATTTACTTAAATACTTGTATCTATAAAAAAAAAGAACGTTAAACATAATGCATGACTACATATATAAACTCCTAGAGGCCTTAATCAATATTGAATTGGTTTATCATTTCTCAGCACATAGATTTTTTTTTCTCTGACAAGGAATATGGCTTTCGTTTTTTCAGGTCAAATGCTGATGTACTGACGATAATTGCGGAAAGTGTCACTCATACCCTAGATAAAAACGTTGAAGTTCGGGCTGTAGCAATGGACATCTCGAAAGCCTTTGACAGAGTTTGGAATTCAGGTCTTCTCCACAAGCTAAAAGTTACGGTGTCTTCTGTATATTTTTTTTTGAACTGATTCAATCTTGCCTATCAAATCGTGTAATGAAAGTTATCCACTTGTCTAGATCCTTTCGTACTAACGTGGATGTCTCCCAGAGCTTCATCCTTAGTCGTATTCTGTTTTCAATTTTCATCAGTGACCT